ATTGTCTTCAGGTCTTTGCAACTTCTTCGCCTCATAGCGATTTTGTGACGGTTTCTTCAAAAATGTATCAGACAAAACAGACACAAGCTTGAAAGTTCGTTTTATCAGCTTTTACCCAAAAAATCGTTGCTGTTTTCGGCTTGCGCGAGTTAATTTGCACATAATTCTCTTCAGTTCTCTGCAACTTCTTCGCCTCAAAGAGATTTTGCGATGGTTTCTTCAAAAACAAATCAGACGAAACAGACACAAGCTAGAAAATTCGATTTACCAGCTTTTACCACAAAAAGCTTTGCTGCTGTTTTCTGCTTGCGAGAGTTAATTTGCTCATAATTGTCTTCAGTGCTTTGCAACTTCTTCGCCTCTTAGTGCTTTTGCGACGGTTTCTTCAAAAACGTATCAGACAAAACAGACACAAGCTTGAAAGTTTGATTTACCATCTTTTACAACAAAAAGCGCTGCTGTTTTCGACTTGCGAGAGTTAATTTGCTCATAATTGTCTTCATTTCTTTGCAACTTCTTCGCCTCGTAGAGATTTTGCGGCGGTTTCTACAAAAACATATCAGAAAAAACAGACACAAGCTAGAAAATTCGATTTACCAGCTTTTACCACAAAAAACGCCGCTGTTTTCTGCTTGCAAGAGTTAATTTGCTCATAATTGTCTTCAGTACTTTGCAACTTCTTTGCCTCATAGAGCTTTTGCGACGGTTTGTTCAAAAACGTATCAGACAAAACAGACAGAAACTAGGAAGTTCGCTTTACCTGCTTTTACCACGAAAAGCGCTGCTATTTTCGGCTTGCGAGAGTCAATTTGCTCATAATTCTCTTCAGTTGTTTGCATCGTCTTCATCTGATAGAGCTTTTACGACGGTTTGTTCAAAAACGTATCAAACAAAACAGACACAAGCTTGAAAGTTTGATTTACCAGCTTTTACCACAAAAAGAGGTGCTGTTTTCGGCTTGCGAGAGTTATTTTGCTCATAACTGTCTTCAGATCTTTGAAGCTTATTTGCCTCATAGAAATTTTACGATGGTTTCTTCAAAAACGTATCAGACAAAACAGACAGAAGCTAGGAAGTTCGCTTTACCTGCTTTTACCACAAAAAGCGCTGCTATTTTCGGCTTGCGAGAGTCAATTTGCTCATAATTCTCTTCAGTTGTTTGCAACGTCTTCATCTGATAGAGACTTTGCGACGGTTTCTTCAAAAACGTATCAGACAAAATAGACACAAGTTAGAATTTTCTCTTTATGAGCTTTTACCAAAAAAAGCTTTGCTATTTCCGGCTTGCGAGAGTCAATTTGTTCATAATTATCTTCACTTCTTTGCAACTTCTTCGCCTCATAGAATTTTCCGACGGTTTCTTCAAAAACAAATCAGACAAAACAGACACAAGCTACAAAATTCGATTTACCAGCTTTTACCACAAAAAGCGCTGCTGTTTTCGGCTTGCGAGAGTTAATTTGCTCATAATTGTCTTCAGTTCTTTGCAACTTCTTCGCCTCATAGAGCTTTTGCGACGGTTTCTTCAAAAACGTATCAGACAAAACAGAGAAAAGCTAGAAAGTTTGCTTTACCAGCTTTTACCACAAAAAGCGGTGCTGATTTCGGCTTGCGAGAATTATTTTGCTCATAACTGTTTTCAGTTCTTTGAAGCTTCTTTGCCTCATAGAGATTTTGCTACGGTTCCTTCAAAAACATACCAGACAAAACAGACACAAGCTAGAAAGTTCGCTTTACCAGCTTTTACCACAAAAAGCGCTACTATTTTCGGCTTGCGAGAGTCAATTTGCTCACAATTCTCTTCAGTTGTTTGCAACGTCTTCATCTGATAGAGATTTTGCGACGGTTTCTTCAAAAACGTATCAGACAAAATAGGCACATGTTAGAATTTTCTCTTTATCAGCTTTTACCAAAAAAAGCGTTGCTATTTTCGGCTTGCCAGAGTCAATTTGTTCATAATTGTCTGCAGTTCTTTACAATTTCTTCAATATATAAATTTGGCAAAGAATTATTCCAAAATGTATCAGACAAAATAAACACAAGTTCTAGCGTTGCCTGTATCAGCTTTTACCAAAAGAACTGTGCTGTTTTCGGCTTGCGCGAATAAATTTGCCATAATTGTCTTCAGTTCCCACAGTTTCTTCAAATATAGAAATTTAGCAAAGGATTCTGCAAAAAATGTATCAAACAAAATAGACACAAGTTAAAAGGTTGTCTTTGTTCGCTTTTATTAAGAGAAACGGTGTTGTTTTCAGCTTTCGAGAGTCAATTATCTCATTATTGTCTACGGTTCTTCGCCGTTTCTTGAAGTAATAGAAATTTAGCAAAGGATTCTTGAAAAATGTATCAGACAAAATAGACACAAATTTAAAGGTTGTCTTAATCAGCATTTATCAAACAACCGGTGCTGCTATTTTCGGCTTGCTAGAGTCAATTTGCTCATAATCATCTTCAGTTCTGCGCAGTTTCTTCAAATATAAAAATTTAAGAAAGGATTCATCAAAAATGTATCAGACAAAATAGGCGCAAGTTAGAAGGTTGTCTTTACCAGGTTTCAGTAAAGAAAGCGTTGCACTTTTGGGCTTGCGTGAGTCAATTTGGTCATGATTGCTTTCAGTTCCTTTTAATTTCTTCACCTAATAGAGATTTGGCAAAGATTTCTTCAAAAACGTATCTGACAAAATAACGCAAATTTGAAAGTTGTCCTTATTGACCTTAAGTGAAGAATGCGTTGTTTTTTCGGCCTGCAGGAGTTAATTTCCTCACAATTGTCTTCAAATCTTTGCAGTTTCTTCACCTAATAGACATTTAGCAACGGTTGATTCAAAAACGCATCAGACCCTTAAGGTTTTTGAGAGTCAATTTGCTCATAATTTTATACAATTCAAAGTCGATTCTTCTCCTACTCAGGTTTGAGCTAGTATTTCTTTGAAAACGTAGTAGACACAACCGGAGCAAATTGGAAGACTGTCTTCAACTTTTAACAAAGATAGTGTTACTTCTTTGGGTTTTGAAAGTCAAGTTGATCATAATTGTCCGCAATTCTTTGCAGTTTCTTCACTAAATAAACATTCAGCGAAGGTTTTTTCACAAAATTCAAAAGAAGTTACAAGAAAGGCAAGTGAATAAACGTGTATTTCTCGACTTTTAAGTCAAAAAGCGTTACTCTTTCTTCACTTAT